TTGAGTCTTCAAATGGTTGCACTACTAAAAAACCCCACCAAATAATTGCAGAAAACTTAACAGCAGTGAAGTCAATAGTTTTTCTCGCATGAAAAGCAAAAGGAGCAAGTGCACAGAAGATTTCCAAAAGGCTTTCATACTGATAGCATCTCCGTGCAGTATGGAGCAAGATGCAAAACTTAAGCATCCTACCAGTGTTCTCAGTATTTATTTGGTCCAGTACATTAAGGCAATAGTGGAGATGCATTTATGGTGCATAAAACTGCCTTACCTCTGTTTAGTTCTTTGCTGTACAGAAAAAGGAGTAAGGCAAACCAGATGCAATGGTATAACTAGAGCCATGGTACGTTGTGCCACTGTTTAACCCCAGCCTGCAACTAAGCACCGCACAGCTGCTCGCTCTTTCCCCCCCTGGTGCGATGGGGGAGACAAGTAGAAGAGTAAAAGTGAGAAAACTCGTGGGTTGAGATAAAGACAGTTTAACAGGTAAAGCAAAAGCTGCGTGTGCAAGCAAAGCAAAGCAAGGAATTCATTCACTACTTCCCATCGGCAGGCAAGTGTTCAGCCATCCCCAGGAAAGCAGGGTTCCATCACGCGAAACGGTTACTTGAGAAGACAAATGCCTTCACTCTGAACATCCCCCCCTCCCCTCTTCTTCCCCCAGATTTATATGCTGAGTGTGATGTTATATGGTATGGAATAGCCCTTTGGTCGGTTGGGGTCAGCTGTCCTGGCTCTGTCCCCTCCCAGCTTCTTGTGCACCCCCAGCCTACTCGCTGGTGGGGTGGTGTGAGAAACAGAAAAGGCCTTGACTCTGTGTGAGCACTGCTCAGCAGTAACTAAAACATCCCTGCGTTATCAACACTTTTTTTTCAGCACAAATCCAAAACATAGCCTCATACTAGCTGCTATGAGGAAAATTAACTCTATCCCAGCCAAAAACCAGCATATGGTGGTACTAGTGTGAATACATAAAATGAAAAAAAAAAAAAAAATTACACCCATGGCTCAGATAGCTGCTGGTAAAGACTTATCTTTAAGTAAAACTTCACAAAAGCAAGATTGGATGGCTATGAAAAAAAGAGTTAACAAAGCACATCAAGAAATGAAAATAGCTGGAAATTAAAGCTATTATGAAAATGTACTTGTTAAATGACTCTCACATGTCAGAAAATAAATTCTGCACAACCCTAGAGTGCTAACAGAGTGCATGGCCATACCAGTGATTTGAACTTTCAGACAGAATCAGTGAAGCTAGCTGTCATACCTGAGCATGAAAGATAACATCAATAAGCTTATGACAGAAAACATGAAGATACGGACGGGACAAAACTGCTCCGTGCAAACACAAACGGTTCAGATAAGTGAAAGGACTGTGTGCCTTTTAGACTAGCTGTCCACTTTTTCTGATTGTATCAGCTCGTCTAATAAAAAATGCCCATTTCCAGAGGCACTTGGGTTATCCTATATCCTGTAACTATCACACCTAGAAGACTACTACAGAAGACTGTTACAAATTCTACCTTCTGCATTCTGACCAGGTGCACAAAGATTACTAAAAGTACCCATTTCACTTCAAATATGCTCAGAAGTCAAGGTTATTCCTGGATTTCAGAAAATCTTCTGTATGGCTAGTATATTATTTCTGACACAACTTGGAAAAGAGAGCAGCAGAAAACAAAATATGTGAAGAAATACGGAACTGGCATGGAGCACTCAATTCCCAGCCAGGTCTGCGATCAAAGGGCCAAGTTTTACAGCTACTTGGAGAATCAGTGGGAAGCAGAAAGTGGAGCTGCACCTGCTATGCAAACTGCATCACCACCTTGAATGGTTCTCTTTCCCGGGAAAAAAAGAAAAGGCAGAAATAGGGCAGCCAATCATGCAGAGATTTATTTCAAGATGTGACATTTTTCTGCCTTCAGAGATTTCCTCTGCACCTTGAACAATGTCACCTCCTTCAGATTACCCTCTTCATGACATTAGAGCAGCCCACAGCTTTCAGATTGATAGGGTTATGCAAACTGTAATGAGTGGTAAACCAGATCATTAATTCTGCTGGTTAGACAGAACCAACCTCTCCCTCTCTATCCAGTTGGGCTTTCTGAAGTGGGAGTGAAAACCACACAAAAAAACCCAACCACTGACAACTAAAGCTATTAGTCTAATGACATATGAACATAGCTATTCTGAGGTGTTGCTTCTGCATCCACCATTTGCAGACTAGAAAAACGTTAACTGCATCTGAAGATCACGATGGAATGTAACAGAGAGCAAATAAATGCTACAACCAAAATGAAATGGCAAAATGCAATATCTTTCTTCAATAGCAATATACCAGAATCACAGAAGATGCTGTGACAGCTTTCAAATGCTCTGGAGGTTTTGTACAGTCATTCATCACCACTGTACCTGCTCCATTACATTTTGTTCAAGGATTATTGGTATATATCTAAAATGGGGCAAGAAAATGACAAGCATACATCACTCTTCATCTATATGTTGGCTAGGTGTTTGGATCCAGAAGTTTCAGCTGACTGTTCACCACTTAAAGCTATCCTCAGTTACTGTTCTGAACTGTATCGTATCTGTGAAAAAAGATGCACAATAATAATAACAAGGATGATTACAGCCCTTCCATCTTCAACGTACTTTTGAGGTAGTTGGATTAACAGTAAACTGCTAATCCAAAGAGCGATAACTCTTTTATTGGTATGATTGAAACACTGAGTGTGTTTGCCAGAAATGCATGGGAATTATATCTTGAGCAGCAGCCACTGTTTTACACAACTTACTTGGAATAAATTACTTTCTAACATGCAGAGGAAAAAATTTTCTATTCAAAACATATACTTTTGTCTTCAGTTATTGACCTATTACTCATGGGAATCAGTGTCATCCATAAAATAATGATTTTATGGGAAGTTGAAGTGCGTTACAGTGTTATTTTACTAAACTGTATTCAGTGCACTGTAGATCTTCCACTGCCTGTTTTTCAGGAAATTTTAATGAAGCCTTTAACCTTAGTAAGTTACATATTGCTAGCCACAAAGTGCTGAAACATCTTTTTGCGTATCTGCATTCAATTTCTATTTGGCAGAAAGAAAAATTATTTTGTCCACAGTTCAGCAGTAATCTATGCTCATCCACTTCTCATTATAGATTGGAAGAAGTTCTGGTACAGTGATGGTTCTAGCAAGCGTGTTATATACTGGAAAATGCTTTCCATTAATACCTTGATTTGGTACAAATGATGCACGTGCAGTACCTGCACCGTGTACGCTTCCACAAAACTGAAACTGAACTCAAATGAGTTACCTTGAGCTGGAGCCCACTGGGAGCATTGGCACCTGAAACATAAGACCATCTCTGGTACAGTATACATATTGCCGCCCTCCCCTGGAGTGCCTTTCCTGCAGTCCTTTTCCTGGACTGACCTTTCCCATGGAGGTGGCAATCATCTGATAGCAAGCTTCAGCGCGTTTAGGTCTAAATCATATAGGGTCTGTCATTAACCCTTAGTATTCTTACAGAATGGAGACTTTCCAGTTAAGTCAATACGCAGAGGAGTTTGTGCTTCCTAACTGACAGTCCTGAATTAAAGTAAATTAGTGTGGTCTACCTGTTGTATAGCTGTAAATAGCATAGAGCTCATCTTTGTCCTGACAGTCTTCACACAAAAAAACTGATGCTGAGATTATTCCCTAAAGGAGGAATTAAGATAAAAAAGTAGACTCCTTAGGCTCTTCCGTACTCAGGGGAGAAACAACCTTCACTCACAGCTTTTCATTCAGCAATATCAGAAACTTCTTACTCTGATACTGTTTCCCCTTGAACTTATTCATAGGGAATATAATAAAAATATCTTATAGAGTGATAAGAATCCTACATGAAAATTTTAAGTAATGCAGAGAATAGTTATTTGTGTGTTAGTAAAGATAATAGGAGCCATTTGGCAAAAAACACCAAGTGTGTGGTGATTTGAATCAAGATTTCGAGAGCTAAAACTGCTGTTTCTTTCAAGGTAACTGCAATATGCTCTTCACAATTGTTGCAGGTTTGCAGTGTTACACATAGTGTGCTAAGAGACACTCAATTTAAAAACGACAGTAAACCCAGTGAAGTGAAATAATTTTTAATTCCCTTTTTAAATGTGCATTTGAATTCAGTACAGATCTGTAAGGCACTCTCATAGGTCAAAAAAAAAAACCAACCCAAAAACATTCTTTCCAAAATAAGGACAGTAATGAGGCAATGGTATGTGCATAAAATATAACCTTTTCTGTAACTGATAAACAGTGAAATATGAATGTTCAGGTTTCGGATGCACTGCAATGTAATGTCATTTCTGAATCATTACACTACTCAGAGTAGATATTGGCACCGTAAATGATTTCTCATTGGGGTTAGGGGCTTGTATTCTCTTCATATCCCAGTAAAAAATAAACTCTTTAATAAATAAATATATAAAATAAATATATGCTATCTCGAGATGTATAAATAGGTCCATCCTGAAGAAAAGTTCCATCTCTGACTATGCTGCATCAACATCTAAGGTCCATCACTAAAGTGGAGCCACTAAAACTTCATATACAGTTCTCAGGATTTGTTACTATTTTACAGTCTATTTCTTTCTGTTTCTTCCAGCTGTTGTCTCATCCACATGATGTAGGTAGTTCTTTGCTCATTTATGGACCACAGATAACCCAGACAAAATTGCCAAGAATTTGTTAGTTTTAAAAAAGTCACACTCCAACTTCCCTCTGGTTACTGGCTACCAAACAGTTCACCAAGTTTGAAGGAGGCTGGTCCACTCCCAGCTTTAAGGCTTTGTCTCCTAAATCCAAAGGTTAGAAAACAGAGGCTTTGACTATCACAAAGTAGCTTCTTCCAATCCAGCATCCTAGACCTCTGCAGGCTCCTCGTGCTGGTATTGCCATGGAAGCAGGGGCAAGATCAAACAGCTCCAGTATGGGTTTTTTCCAAAGCTGCCTCCTTCCTCAGCTGTATCCTAACACATCTTTGTACAGTTCTGGAACTCTTTCAGGATCCACGGGCCGGGGCAAGAAATGTGTGAATTTCTGGTGTCTTTTGGACCTTGCCCCATCTCTGGGAGTACCGTCTTTGTTAAGTGCTACGAAGTATCGCCGCCCCGAATCTCCATGTTTGTACACATTGGACGAGTAAGTGTTGTACCAGTTTTCCTCAAACTGTTCCCTGAAGATGCATTCAGAAGTTAGTTTCTCCTACGGAAAGAAAGAGTGAAGAAAAATAAGTCAAGCTGTCACTAGATATCTGAACACACATGAAAAAAAGTGATAAAAATAAACAAAAAGTTTTAGATTTTGTGCTGCCTTACTGTTCATTACTGTTAACAAATCAAACCCAAGAAGAGTATGTAGACCCGACACTGAGTTTGGAAGCCTTTATTCTTTTGAAAATCCTTTATTCTTTTGAAAACTTGAGCTGCACATACACCATTTTGGATTTAAACATGAGTTAGAAAACTCTCTCTCTAAGGTGGCATTACTCATTTACAATTTAACTAAAATTCACCTGACCTACAGGAACCATATTTTGTAGAGTTCTGTCTTAGGGTATCCACCGTTCTAGAAATGAGATTTGGAGGGACACAGGTGCAACATAACAGATTTCCATGTGTTCTTTGTGATATGCATCACTTCTCACATTTTATCAAAGATTATATTTTACGGTCATGTTGAAGTTATTCAACACATACATAGAAATTAACTGTAATGAGTACAAGCTTATTTTCATTCTTAAACGCAAGCATTCAAGTGGCAGGATCTACAGGTATTGCCAGTACTCTTGCAGCACTCAGATTTTTCAAATAACAGTGGTACCTAACTGTGATATATGGTATTATCCTATTTTTCCCCAGCATTTGAAAGAATGCTTTTACCTTAAAAAGCTGGTACCTGGAAGTACCACCTCCTGATTTGTAAAGGAGCATTAGGCTATTCATAAAGTAAGTCAGGCTGCTATACTCACTGTTGTCTATTTGTTCCATAACTATCCTTTTTCCATAACTTTTTTATCCAATTGCATTCAATGTTTTTGATAATAGAGTGTATACTATGATACATTCGCAGTATTGATAAAAACAAAGTTACATACTAGGCAACTTAAATGCTTTTTTAATAGATAGTTTAATTCAGCTGGTTTTGTCATAATTTAAGAGGAATACTTCTTTTCAGTTCTATTCATCTAGGACAGAGAAACTTTTCCCATCAAATCAAATTTAGTATCCAAGGCTATACTGTATACTTTAAGATTATACATTTCAACAGGAAAAGATGTTAGTGTTTTGAAAGCTAAGACTACCTCAGCTAGCTACTTAAGCGGTTCGCATAGCACTAAGAAGTGAATTAGAACTCCAACATGTATGAGCTGACATGAACATGGTACTTACGGAGCCATAGAGTTCTCCCTTCTCATTCATTCCAAGGTAAAGGCCACTGTCCACACCTCTAATACTGACCAGTCCCACTGCCACGCTGATGAATTCAAGGATACCTGAACATATATCCAAAGAAAGAAGAAAAAAAAAAGAGACTGCTTTAACTCAGCTTGTAATGAAAATCAATAAAAACATCCAAAATGTAGTTGAAAGCAAGTGGAAAATGTACATATTATAATAAACGCGGTCTATTTTTTTCCTGAAATCTCAAATATTGCATGGAAATGTATACAACGTTAACAGGAAAGCAGTCTGAGAAGCCTCATCTAGGAACAAGAATCCTACACCATTTAAGAAACCTTTTTTTTTTTTTTTTCATGTTGAATATGAAAGGATTTTATTCAGTGCTGAAGCTAAACCCTTCAGTGCTATGCAGTTGCAATCTATAATGATTATACACTATTTGCTAAACTGCCTACTCAAACATTGGAAGATAGGTTTGCATTACCTGAAAATATACTTTACTTTCTCTATAGCATTATCTTAAAAAAACACATCCATTATTAAATCATTTGAATGGAAATCAAAGTACAGATGGGAATTTTATATAACAGAATCTACCCACAGAAAAAAAAAAAATATTTGCCAGACATCTTATCTAGCATATGGGCCCACACCTCTTGACACAACTTGCTATCTTCAGTGCAGGCTTTTTATGTGCACAAAATATGCTGCTTATTTGCTAATTTTTGGATTCTAGCATTATTTATATTACATTTGCCCAAAAATGTAACATATATTAATAATATAAAGTCTTCAGGAGATGAGGCACTATTTGAAGCCTGCAATTTGGCAAGGGTATGCCAACATATTTAACCAATTGATATGCACAGATTACAGTACATATAAAACATGAAAGAAAGGGAATGTGTGAACTGGCTTTTTGGAAGTTGCTAACAATGTAAACAAAGCCTCAAAAAGAAGTTGTTCTAGAATCATACCTAAGATTTTGCTGCGCAGCAGCAAAACCACAAAACGTTAAAAAAAATCTGAGTCTAAGATAAGTGGTTTTAAACAGTGCATTTGATTCTGACTTTCTGTCTATTTATTTGCTGTATTTATGATTACTCTTTTTCATTCAGGAGCATTTTTCACTCTCAGACAGATGGACTGTCTGGACTATACAATAATCTAAAATGTTTTGAATTTTAATTGCGGTTTGGCAGGTTTCTTATTTATATTACCAAGCAGCAAAGAAAATAAGTCCTTGACAAAGAGTAACCATGAAAAACTCTATTGCATGTAAATCATCCTAGTTTTCCAGTTCCTAAAGCACAAAGTCCCATAAAAAGAGGTGGAGGTATTTTGTCTTTCTGGTATCATTTTCAAAGTCACCCTTTTTCAAAACTATAATAAGCAGGTGATTCAACCCACAAAGCAACCACATCAGACAAACCTGCCGAGAACAGTGCTGGAATAAAGGAAGAACATTTCTAAAAAGCCCAGTAAGTGTTTGATCTGGGGCTAACTTTTTTTTTCTTTTAAAGCAAAGATTTATTTCATGTTTACACGCTGTAGGAAATCTTCCTTCTGAGAAGAACTGTCTGTTTGACTACTGCTCTTTTACTTCTGAAAACATCCGTGTGTTATAAAAGCAATTAAGAGCCATTCCAGCAGATTGTTTTGACTACGGGGAGGATGACAGGAAACTCTTCAATCACCTTTTTATGACTGCTAAATCAATACACACGAACACTCAACACGTAGCTGACAACGGCAGGTTTGTTCAGATGTCCAGTTCCTACAACTACTATTTAGGATTTGCTCTTGTATCACAGGAAACATTTACATTTTTGGGTCGTCTTCCCCTCCTTTTGGTTTACGGACGGAAAGTACTGGGAAACATTTTAAGTATTTGAGCAAAGAGACGTTTTAGGTCCCTCTGCTTCAACTTTCCGCCCTGCAAAACAAAGCCGTCTAAGGCAGCCTAAGGGTCCCACGACCTGTGTTATTCCACAAAGACTCCAGAAGCTCCGACACGGACAGGGAATACGAAAGGAATCGGCCTGACTCCTGACCCTTCCCGCTAAACCTGCAGGCGCCCGCATGCGCTTACAGACCCCCAGCACGGCCCGAGCAAGGCTGCCGCGCCCCGATGCCCGGCGGGGTCTAGCGCTGAGGGGGGGAAC